AAAGTGTGTAACAATGTGCCCATTATTTTATATATTTTTCTACTGATGATGACATGTAACACTTGTCGAATCGTTTGAATTAAATAATGTTTACTATATAAGGAGTGTCTATTGTCTTATGTTTTACTAAGTGGAATAAGTTCTTTTCGTTTATTGAGGGATGATTTGGATGGTTGGTAGAGGATGAAAAATTTTTCTTTGAGACAAAGATTGCATCTTTTAATGGTGCTTTTTTATGGTTCTGTTCTATATCTAGTCATAAATTCGTTTCGTATAAGTCCAATGTACGAGTCAGTTGTGTTATTGTCCTTGCGTTTCACAGTTGCTTGATAGATAACGAATGATTGTTGGCAGTTTTCGTTAAGTGGACAGTTTTGTTTCTGTCGGCAGTTGCCTGTTTTTGAATGTGTATTTTTGTCATTGATTGTATTTCCTTTAATTTTGTCTGATGTTCTCAATATATGTTTGTTATGAATGTTGATTATTTTGTGGATCTTGTTCATGCAGCTGTAGCTGAGTTTGATGGTGTTACAGCTGAATATTTTCCTGAGTTTAAGTTGTATGGGGAAGTGATTGTCGATTAATGAAAGGAATTTGTGGCCAATGTTTGTGTGGACGTTTTTACTAAATGGAAGGTTGTACCGATGTATATTTTGTGGAAGTCTGTTTTTCCATTTGGTAGTTGCTTTTTAGTAAGGTGGAGTTATTTTGTCAAACAATGCTTTGTCGGATGATAGGGATGATAGACGTTTGTTGATGGTGGCGGGTATGTTCTTCGTTACGGTTGGTGGATGGTTGCTTTCCTGTGGCACCCTCAGCACCCCCGCGTCGTACACCTATGGTACGTTCCTTTTAGTCGGCGAGTTTAGTCATCGATCGACCTGCTCGTATTTTCCAATTCCATCGGATATTACTTTTGACAACACCATAGTCTCCGCACACTCAGCTAGAACAAGATACCTATTTTTAGCAGTGTTGTTATTTTCATCCACAAACACTTTGCAAAGGGTGAACTGTAAACTCGTTTGCTAAAGAAAATCCACTTTAAACTTACGCCAGCCGTTGTAATTACTTTGTTTACAATAATTTAACATTACCGCTTTTGATATGTTTTATTTTGATTGGCTCTTTGATCATTTCTTTGTTTGACTAACCAATCTGGAGTGCATTTTCCAAAAATAAAATGCACTGTATTTCCTTTTTGGGAACTGTGTTTCCAATTTTTGCACAGGTATTTACGATAAATTGCACTCCTCTCAGCCAATCAAAATTGAGAAATTTTATTATGTATATTATTAAGACTAAAAGAGTAGATAAATAAACTTATATAATGTTTTTTAAAAATACTCGTAAAAGTTGCAAAGAAGATCCATTTATATTCCATAAATAGGATTTTCAACATTCATCACCTGAATTTCGCCATATTTTTGCAGTAAAATTATCATTGGTTTTGCTTATTTAAGTTGTGCATCAATTTCTTTTTCATTCAGTCGAAAGTTGTGATTTTGAAAAGGGACTGGGAACAACTGTATGTCCATGGCGCAATGTGAAAGGCGATGATGACTTTGACTGGAAAACTAGCACATCAAACTTATTGTATAGAGCACCACGTTTTGATGCTACTGGCTCCAGTATTGGTAAGATGGCAGTATGTAATAATACAGGATACTTGCGTGTCAAACTATTTAAATTGTTAATGGAAAAATGAATAAGATTTTTAAAGGCTTTTCGAATAGGCATGTTTTCGCTTGTAAAATCTAATGTTATGAATATGTTCCTCGATGGCTCGGTCTATATACTGGCTGCTTCATTAATATTTAAAGTCAGGGGCGTAGGAAGCACATTTAAATTTTTGGGCGGCAAACCTCTAGAGCACTCTCCTGTGAAAATGCTGTATCATGCTAATGACTAATAGAAACCAGTAGATTAAAGTTTTTTGTAGTTAAAATTTCAAATCTCTTATTTGTTTGTGCCCATCGAGAAAAGGTTACTGTACTGCTTTTCTTTGCTGATGACTTTGGTATGAAATGCCTTTTATAAAACCGTTGCATGGAATGAGGTCTTTCAGCAGATAAGTTAAGCAAAGCAGCATGTATATATGCAATAAAGAAAAAAGAAAGTAAGGAAGTAAGTGAACTCCTTTCAGGTATGACAGTGGGGAAGCTAACTTTACATGATCCTAAAGATATGGTGCGTTTTCTTTGTCCGGATATAATTTCGGCAATTCTTTATTGAGCTTACATAAACCCTGAGTTATTTATGTTCATAAAGTTATAAATAATAAATCATTAAATCAATTTTACTGTGTGGGCTAAAAATGCATGTAGTCTTAATCTTATAATGATTAATATTGTATTGACAGGCGGATCGAGAGAACTTGCCGAAATTCTTTATCAACAAATACACATTCTTCATTTATAAAGTACATTGTCTACATACATCATACATTTTTTGTTTATTGTAGGACAATATCTTTATTCTGAAGGACGATACCGTTTACTTGGCAAAGCTTGGTTGGTGGGAAATTATCGCAATGACTCTCTCGTGTGTTTTTCTTTTTCGTATTATAATATTCGCAGTCATTATGTGATACTAAATATTTACCAAGAATATTTTCACAATGAATACCACGTGTTACTGTGGTCATTAAGTGGTGATCAAGGGAATAAGTGGAAAAAAGGCCAAGTCACAGTTAATTTTACCGTGGGTCTATCTAGGGTTGGTAAATTATTCATATATTTATACAGCTTTGTGATACTTTGTCAATTTGTTCAAGTCACTTATTTTTTATTCATAGTTAATCGTTGAAGCTTATGCAAGACCATACAAGAACTTTTTAGCTATCGACAATCTTGCTTTTGCTCCAGGAAGCTGTGACACAATACCAAAACTGGCCACTCCTGGTAATGCTTTTGGTAAGTATTTGTTTATGCTTTTTTGCAAAGTGTGTTGCTTGCTCACTCTACTACTTTTTATGTTTCTTGAAAATTTTCAAACTTATCCTTAGGTTTATAATTAATTTACGTAATATGATAACAAAAATATTGAACACACTAAATATTTTAGAATTTTTTAAAATAACTTGACTAATATTGTCAAACCAGCGTTTCTTTTTCAATCATCGTTTTTATAGATTGTACTATTAGTTCGTGCTGTTGTCATTAATTGAGTTTTTGTTAAAACTCTAAGATTGCACCCTCAAACGAATCGCTTGGATATTTCCTTATCCCTGCTACTAATTCCTGAACACCATCGCTAAAAACTCTCCTCTTCGCTTTTATTTCTAACATTTTTCACTTCCCAATTACGCCAATTAAAGATGCCTAACCGTTTGTCATCGGTTTTGCCATTTTGACTGCATCAAAGGTGGTAAATGCATGTCAACTACACCCTGTGTATGTATACTTACAAAATAATGATTCGTTAACTAGCAATTTTAAAATATTGATGCGTTTTTGTAAACTGCAATCCGGGATACATGTACAGTTTCAACCAATCTGATTGTGTTATTTGTCCTCAAAACACGTATCAACCAATGAAAAGACAGTTTCAATGCTATCAGTGTCCAAATGGCACAATGACGTATACAGATGATCCTCACGTTAATATAACCGACTGTAAAGAAGGTATGTTTTTCAATCTCAGCATTTTATTGATCATTTGTTGATAATATCTACAACTTTTTTGTTCAGAATGTCGTCCAGGTTATTACTTTAATATTTCTGAAATGGTTTGTACAAAATGTCCACGAAACTCGACACAAGAGAACAAAGGACAGATCACATGTGATGTGTGTCCAATAAATCTACCAATCACAGAGAAGGAAGGAACAGTTTTTCAATCAGATTGTATACAAAGTAAGTTGACGTTTTTAAACCCTTTAAAATAATTCGATTTAATAAAACCCTTTTCGACTTTAGATTGCAATGTAGGCTCTTACTTTAACAAAACGACTTTAAATTGTGCGAAATGTAAAAGAAATAGTTATCAACCACAGACAGGAAAAACAAAATGTTTTACGTGTGAAATGAACAAGATAACCATAGAAACTGGTGCTATTAGCAAGACACAATGCATTGAAGGTAAGTTAAATAATGACATGAAGTTGTTAAATTATTTTATTGATAAGAAGTAGTTATTATACTTTAATTCACTACTGCACCTGCTACTTGTTATTTGAAACTTCACTAAAAGTATATTCTTTTCCAATCTAATATTTATTATCATATGCGCTCCTTTCTCATTTTAATGTGTCGCTTGTATTTACGATCTTTTATAGATTGTTCTGCTGGTTCATTCTACTCGTTTCAAACCAACCAATGTGAATATTGTCCAGTGAATTTTTATCAACCCCACTTTGGTCAAATTCATTGCATTGCCTGCCGCATTGGTACAGTTACAGTTGAAAATGGGACAGTCAGCCATCTTGACTGTATCAAAGGTCATAAATGCTTTCTCAATTACACCTTGTATAAGTACACCGACATATAATGAATTATGAATTTGCAATTTTAAAATATCCATGCGTTTTTGTAGACTGCAATCCAGGATACATGTACAGTTTTAACGAATCAGACTGTGTTCCCTGTCGTAAAAACTCATATCAACCAATGAAAGGACAGATTCGATGCAAACAATGTTCACATGGTACAATGACGTACACAGACGATCCCCACGTTAATATATCCCACTGTAAAGAAAGTATGTTTATCTTCAGTATTTCATATATCTAATGTTGATATCATCAATAATTAAATTACTTTGTTTTTAGAATGCTATACAGGTCATTATTTTAATTTGTCTGAAATGGTTTGTGCAAAATGTCCACGAAACTCGACACAAGAGAACAAAGGACAGATCACATGTGATGTGTGTCCAATAAATTTACCAATCACAGAGAAGGAAGGAACAGTTTTTCAATCTGATTGTATTCAAAGTAAGTTGACGTTTTTGAAACACATCAAAATAATTCGGTCTAATGAAACCCTTTTCGACTGTAGATTGTAATGCAGGTTCCTATTTTAACAAAACGACTTTAAATTGTACGAAATGTAAAAGAAATAGTTATCAACCACAGACAGGAAAAACAAAATGTTTTACGTGTGGAATGAACAAGATCACCATAGAAACTGGAGCTATTTACAAGACACAATGCATTGAAGGTAGGTTGAATAGTAAAAACAAAATTGTTAAATTTTTTTATTGTTGCGAAATATTATTAAACTAGATTAAACTACTGCACCTGTCATCTGTTATTAAATATTTCGCTAAAAATATCTTCTTGTCTAATCTATATTAGTATCATGTGTTCACATGGATTTTCTATTCTCTCCAGGTTCTTCACGCAAATTTATCGGAAAACTTATAAAGACTGTTATTCCCTATGCAATTGCGGCAATTTTGTTCCTGTTTTGTATTCTTATGTTGTGTTACTACCTCAGATGGCGGATGAAGAAGAACAAAAAAATGGTGAGTAAAAAATAAGTAAAAAACAATCGACATTTGTCGTTGAAGCAGTAAATGCCTTTTAAACGGTGTTTAAAACTCGACACCGATGATCATTAGGAAGTATTCAATGCATAGCAATTTTACTGCAACTTTGATTGACTATTTAGACGAGATCTGGCAATGGCCGACCAATAAACCAACGAAATCGCATATTAAATCGAGGTACAGTAACTTCCTTGTTCAATAAATTCATGATTATTTTTCTACAAAAGTATTCATCAGCTATTCAAATAACGTCGATATTATACATACATAACGTGTATAATAACAAGTTTTACATATACACACAATCGTTTGGTTGAACAAAAAAATCAATATACTTTTACTTTGTCCCTTTAAATTTTGCGTTAAAAACGTTACTAAAAAATATATTATAATAACTGTTACTTTTCATGTCATAAAAGCTTTATGAAAATGTTATGTTTATAGAAATCCCAAATTGTACCACATAATAAAATAGTATTCATTTAAATTTAAATGTCATTAAAATGAAACGGCACTTTTTCATCTCTTGTCATAGATCACAACTCTGAAACCAACTTAAATGATCCAACAAACGTATCTGGCAATGAATTTATGCTCCAGTCTCGATCACAGCAAAGTCAGAATCACGTGTATGAAGAACCGAGATGGGAACCCGAAAACCATTCCAACGTTGTGAAAATCAGCTTTGAACCTCGTCCACCTGGGTATGAGGAACCTATTATTGTAACCTTTGACAAGTCTCCGCAGAACCAGACTGTTGATCAATGCGAAAATTCTTCTGTTCGTGATTCAATGACTAATGAAGATAATAGTGAACGATATACATCTTTGATATTACCCCCAGGGTGTAGAAATGACTTAGAAAATAATGATTATCAACCACTGCTAAAGAACGGTAATGTAACAAATAGTGAGAATGTTGATCAATACCAAAATTCTTTTGTCAGTGATTTGATGAATAATGAAGAGAAAGGTAAACAATATAAAAGTTTGATAAAACTTTCAGGAAATGAACATGATACAGAGAATGACGGTTATCAACCATTGCTGAAGAATGATAATGTAACAAATGGTAAACGTGGTGAAGAAGATCGAAATTATTCTGTCAGAAATTCGATGATCAATGAAGACAAAGGCGAGAAATATTTGACAATTATTGAATAAGACTGAGCATTATTTTCACCGACGTCAATGTTTGTTTTATTGCACAATTATAAATGTAGAAGTCGTCAAACTATATTTTTATGGAAGCTTCGACATTAAATAATCATAAAGGTTTGCTTTCGTCTTCCTCGTAAAAAACTCGTTGAAATATCTCCTGACTGATAGCGTAAAGCGTAATTTACACGAGCAAAGTGTCTATGGCAAAGTTATATGCCGCTGGACTATATCCATGTAAATGAGTAAAATGTCCATTTGCCAAAGTTTTCTTTGACAAAGTTTATTTTCTCGTTTCAATGGGATAGTTTGTTCATTGCTTGCATTAGTGTCGCCAGATAGATAAGCGATATTCATATGTTCATGTTTTATTCACTAAGAAACAATTGACTTGAAAAGAACTTAATAAGGAAAAACATAAATTAATGAGTAAAATCCCCTTTGCTTATGGAGCTGGCGACGCCATTGTTTGCTTGTTTTGCAATTGATGCAGTAATAGCAAAAATATTGGAATTTATTTTCAAAACGCAAATGTATACTTTCGTGTTTTATCGCAACTTTTCTTTTACTACACAAATGTGGAAAAAAGCAAAGAAAATAAAGAAGATTTTTGGTACGGCCGTGGTCTACTCAAGATCGTAGGCATTCACAAACTAACCTTGTGCGCGAATATCCGTAACTGATTCTGAAATACACTCTTAATTAATTGATGTTAAAATTTTCTTATGTGAAAGTTTGGTAACGAGGAGTTGTATTTACGCCATGTCAAGCTTACTTTGCTGGTTCATTTACGTGGGAAATTGTTTGATCAATTTAATTTTCTATGGCAAAGATGTTTGTTAAAACACTGGCACCCCAATTTTTGAACAAAGGACTTTGTAATAGAAACCATTGTCAAATTGTATCATAAAAACACTTTATAACAAAGACGGTAATAATCAATGAAGTGAAAGTGCGTCAATAGAATAGAGGCTAATCTCAAAAATTAACTAGGGATGCAAGGATAGTGCAAAGTTTCTCAGTAAAAATGTTCCTAAGCCTGGAAAATAAAATGTGTTTCAACAATGCTTAGCATCAAACTATGGCGTTTGGAAAAATGCTAAACTGAAATTCATTGTGAGAAGTAATTATAATAGAGGCTAAGCGGTTCGTTTTATGACGAAAATACTCTGCAGCAGCCTATAAATGATTTGTAATTGCCAATGGGATTGTATAGACTTATATTTAGACTTATCGATTTATATTTATCAGTTTTTGACACACTTATATTGTACATAATACTTGAGTTCTGATTGTCTTTGTCAGAGATACAATCGTGTAAATAACACGAATCCGCGGTCCATCGAAAACCGTAGTATTTCTTGTGGCATCTGATGCAGTTGATACACGAAGTAGCCACAACTTGCTCCAAGGTTGCATAAATGAACGTTAATTTCCTATGCGCACTTATGTAACGGATACATAATATGGACATTAGGCACGCCACTATCCGCTTACATACATTTGTCATTCATGCATCACAATCTTTTATTATTATTATTAAACAGTTATATCGATAGAAGTATTGTATTTTCTTTAATTGTTCTGACTCATATGTGAAGCTTAAGTGTTCAGAAGAAGATGTTCGGTATCCGTATATTACAATTTGCATCAGTTGAGGAACAAGTCCAGCTTTCGGCATTTTGCGTGAATAAACATTCATTTTGTATTTGCACTTTCACAGCAATTACATGAAAGTCGAGAAAGTCCTACAGTTTTTCATGACTTTCTTCAATTGTTTTAAAGCACTCAACAACTATATGCTTGTTGAGTGCTTTAAAAACCTGGACGATTATCATTTACAAACATATAACGATACTCCCGGGTTCAAACCATTTACTTTATTACGATCATTTGGACGACAGAGCGAACAACTTGCTAACGACTACATACGTTTTGCAAGCAACGTCAGACGCATACGCCAAATACGGCTAACCTGACGTTTACTCCTCATTTGACTCTGAAGATGACTACCGCTAAGGTTGTCGAAACGTCAGTCAACAACAACAAAAACAGTCCTTCTCAGGACTTTATTAACCTGGACGATCATCATTTACAAACATATATATGCTTTATTTATTTATCTTGTAATTTTAGATAGGAGAAATAGTTATTATACTTAGTATACGCTGCAGTATTAATGACGAAGTGATACGATGACTAAAACATACTTCACTATAAAAGGAATAATCAATGCTTACCTTGTTTTGATTGGATGATTGTGGCATATAGCAATAACATGCAGGTCAATAATGAAAATATTCTTTTTCTAGCGTAGTCAAATGCTGGCAATTTCGTCGCTCCTTAAATAAAATAGGCTGAATAAGTTTATAAGAAGAAAATAAATATTCGTATGAATATAAAAACTTAAGTTTTTACATTTCAATCAAAGTATTTAGTTGAAAGACATTTTCACATTGATTTTCTATTCTCTCCAGTTCCTTCACACAAATCTAATGGAAAAATAATAAAGATAGTGATTTTCTGTGCAGTAGCTGCAATTTGTTTCTGTTTTGTATTCTTTTTTTGTGTTATCATCCTAGATGGCGGATGAAGAAAAACAAAAAAATGGTGAAAAAAAATAAGCAAAAACAATCGACATTTGACGTTGAAGCAGTAAATGCCTTTTAAACGGTTCTTATAACCCGACACCGATGATTATTTGAATTGAAAAATTGTATTTTATCAAACTGCCGTATCGGGATTTCCGGTGATTATTGACTTAGGAAAATTTGAAATCGTTTTTTTTCTCAATTCAGATTATTCTTATGCCATGATAATGAACTTCTAAACGCAAGCTGGCAAACTTTCCACAGCTAAAAATATGCAACTCTGGTGAATGGAAAAGTTTAAGTACAGGATACTTTCCGCTTTAAAGTCGATTGAGAACACACTATTTTACGGGCCGCAAGTTTAAAATGCCAACTGTTCTCTTAATTGTTCGACTATTACAATCAATATTAGAGACAGAAGTATATTATTTCGCCTTTTTGTTCAAAACTGTGGAACTCCTTATTAAAAGATTTATCTCATTTTTGCTTCACAATATATTTCATTGAGTGGTAAAAGAAATTGTCTTTCCCTCGCATCGGCCACTTCCTTATTACTAATTTAGGTAGCTTCATTCATTTCTTTTCTCCCTCGCCGACCATGAAAAATTTATATACGCTTTGAACATTATAAATTTGTTGTCTATATTTAAATCACTAATTTTGTTTGATGAAAATATTGGCAATTGCAAAAACGGAAGAGTTTAATGCAGTTATTAAACCTCAGCAACCATGTTATTACGAATTAAGCGCACAGAAAAAAAATCATGCAGAAGGCTACTTAAGTGTGTACCGCGTCCTCACGGCCGCCATCATTCCAGCATAATACTTTAGGTTTTTCATTTTCACTGAAATAACATGACGTCATTTCTTCACAATAAACTCGAAAAAATTTCAATATAAAAAAATACGTCAAGTCATTT